GATGTTGACAAAATCACCATCTGTCAATTGCAAAAGGCAGCTTTACTTGGAACAGTTTACACCCTGCGATGGTAACTTTAACAACATCAAACAACATCTGCCTATCCCAGGTCCTTGGGAAGGACTCGATGGCTGGATAAAAATGCCAAATCCAGTCTAAACAACTAGCTGACTGTGCAACCAATAATAATAATTTAAATTTGTAAACTACATTTGGAGAAAGAAACATTGTCTCATTTTCTTTCCAATTTCACCTAAATTAAGAAAATAATCTGAAAACAGAAAATGTCCAATTATTCAGTTGAAAGTGGTTGCTAGAATAGACTTTGTTTGCTATTACTTTGCCTGCGTACTGGTATCTGCTTGCGTGGTCTGCATTTGTTTTAGTAGTGAATGGCTCTTATGTTATCTGGTAGGAAGGTGAGCCAGTGGCAGTTTGTTATTCCAAATGGAGATCAAAGCAGTTAAGATCTCTTCAAGGTTGTTTGGGGAGACTTAAAACTTAGATGTAGAGAGGAGCTGTGTGAAGTTCAAGGTCAAACTGATTAGAACAGCTAGTATATTTCAGCTTTCTGGTCCTGAATAAACAGACTTCCTGCTACAATCCCCCAAAGACCACATACTATGTTAATATGCGTGTGCATGCAGACACGCACACATACACTTACCTGCCAAACAAGAAACATTCCCTGGAATCTTCTTCCAGTAATCACCTGCAGGATTTTTATCTGTGATGCCATACCGGCGTGCTACATCTCCATTTGGACAACGGGCCCATACTGTCTTCATGCTTATTACCAGCTCACTTGCCTGAAGCCCTAAAAACCAAGACATATGAAGTACAAACTTACTGAAAGAGCTTTGAAATGGATACTATGCATACTGTATTCAAAAGAAACAGTAAACACTTATCATTAGAATAAATCAAATTAAAACAAAAACAAAGGGTAGCTTCATATATTGTTGTATCTTCACAGCTAAGAATTATTGAGAGGATATAGGAAGCACTGAGAGCCAGTTTGGTGTAATGGTTAAGGCACCTGCCTAGAAATCAGGAGATTGTGAATTCTAATCCCACCTTGGGCACAAGCCAGCTGGGTGATCTTGGGCCAGTCACTCACTCTCTCTCTCCATCCTAGGAAGCAGGCAATGACAAACCACTTCTGAAAAACCTTGCCAAGAAAACTGCAGGGACTTGTCCAAGCAGTTGCCAGGAGTCAAGACTGACTCGAAGGCACAAAAATCAATCAATCAATCAATCAATCAATCAATCAATCAATCAATCATGTACTATGAACCAGCCTTTCCTGATTAATCCCAATGATGGAAGAGGATGAGAACTACAGCCCAACACATCAGCAGTGCATTAGTTTGGCCAAGGCATATAATATGCCAAGTGTTATAATTGCCTGATTAGTGGAATGGAAACTTGCTTTAAAGATTTCCTAAGAAACAGGCTGTAGACAAAAAAACCTGGGCAAATGACTCGGAGACCAAGCACCGAGGACCAAGACAGCAGGAAGGAGACAAACCTGAAACTACAGATGGACTTGACTCAAGATATGCTGGATTGGACAAACCTATCTATTGTTGGAGGTTGGACTAGAAGACCTCCAGGATCCCTTCCAGCCCAATGATTCTATGATTTCTCAAGGCATTTTCAGCCTGCTATTGTTCCTGCTTGTGTATCATGACATGTTGCTTCCGTAACTGGCAGTTTCATACAACCAGTAACACTTTGGACACTATATATATACTCCATGAAACTTTTGAGTTCCCTTATTCCTTTTTAAACATTCATTTAATCTACTGCACCTCGCAACATCTTGTGATGAGTGCCATAATTTAGGAAGTTGGGAGAGGGAGGAGGTTTTGCTGCATGGTCAGACAAGATGTGTGTTTAGCTAAATAAATCAAGGTGGGGCCAAGCATTGGCAAAATGCAAGTTACAACCAAACAATATATTTGTTAAGTAATCTTACCTGGAACCTGCTCCCAATCTGTGCCTACAGGCATCTCCTCTGTAATCCCAGTGCGCACATGAACATTCCATTTGTTGTCAATGGCCCACAGACTCTGATCATTAGGACTCGAATACACACTGATCAAGTGGACTCCTGCTGCCTACAAAAGTAAAATATATTGTCTGATGTTACAGATCCTCTTTCATGAATTGTCAACTAATTGAAGGGAGTTTAAAAAATCAATTCAATTTCAATCAATTCAATTTCACCCCTCAATTAATAAGCATGCACAAATGGTAAAAGAGAAGAAAACTGTTAGAAGTTTCAACTGGTACAAAATATAACTGCCCCTATGTTCATAGAAACCAGGAGCTCAGTATATCCATCACCAATCTTGTGGGAGCAGTATTATTATAAATAAATAATTATTTATTATTTGTGCTTTTCTCAGCCCAATCCAAGTATGTATGTATGTATGCAGCTTAAAAATAGAAATCAACACATTCCATATCAGCCCAATCCAAGTATGTATGTATGTATGTATGTATGTATGTATGTATGTATGTATGTATAACCATAAAGTACAACCCAAAATATAGTAGTGCTAGTAAAATCAGAAAAAATATATAAGATAATAAGTGAATAACATTTGTAGAAACTAAGAATATATCCATAAATGCTAATATAAAACTAGCTCAGTCCTTTAACATATTATTAAACCTAGTCATATAGACCATCTATTGCTCCATCTTGCCAATCCAAAGTTTTTACCTATCTATCTTCAAAGAAGATATTGCTTGAATTATAAATAGTCTTCAGTCTTCAAAATCTCTCCAAATTTAGAAGACTTTTCTGAGGTTTTAGTACTGCCCATTTATGTAAAGCTGATTAAATTGTTTTATACCGCAGTTTATGGAATGTGTTGATTTCTATTTTTAAGCTGTTGTTTTGTAACTTTTAAAAATTATTTGATGCATATATTGTATAAACCACCTTTTCAGAGTATAGCTGATCTGATAGGCCAAATGCAAGCATGGATTTCCAGTATCTTTCATTGCTCACCATCATCACTCAGTGTTTTTGCTTTTGCTGTGAACCATGAAACTTTGCTAAATCTTATGATACAAAGGGACTGACTTTAAAAAGCAGAGTGCTTAAGTGGTACCCTATTCTAACCACTCTTCAGTTCAATTTCTGATTAATTCTACATTATCACTTAAATTATGTTTCCAAATAGCTAATCCCTGCTTTTTAAATGCAAAAGAGCTTTAAAGGGGAAAAAAAGTAGACAGCCTATTTAATCCTTTCTTTTAATCACAAAACGACCTAATCTCTCTTTTATAACTGAGAACATGGATGAAAACCACATGACCAGAAGTTCAACATGTTTAAAAATTATTCAGTTGAAGGTTGCCAAGAATATAACTTCCTTGCACATTCTTTTTAAGAATCAATATTTGATTGATTCTTAAAAAGAATTCTACTTGCTCCTGTCCATTCCAATTTTCTCCTCTTCAGTAGACACAAATACATTATTATTTCATTCTTTAAAATATACAAAACACACCCTAAAACAGAGGTAAGCAATTTTCTGAATGGAGGCTGCAATGCATTCCTCTACCTGTGGTATCGATGGAGAGTGGCTGTGTGAGGGGCAATTTTTGATCAGTTTTGAGAACAGCATTAAGAGCACGAATAGGAACTGTAACCCCTGGGGAAGTACCTCTCACATTTCCATACTTAAACCCACCCACCCCAAATTAGCTCAGAATCATGCCACTGACATTCAGTGACAAAATAGCCAGATTTTGGTGGTGCAATTTTGAACTACTGAGGGGAAGATCTGCCACTCAAGAGGCATCGCACTAAAATTAACCATTCTGCTACTGAGAAGCTGGGGGAGGGTTGCAAATGGTGTGCATAAACAGCTCTGAACTACAGGTTGTTCACCTCTCCTTAAAGTGTTCTATATTTAATCATAGCTGTGCTGAAATAAGGCCACAGTGGCATAAAGATCACAGTCAATCTATACATATATTATTATGTTATGCATATCAACATTGAAGAGACTGAAGTCTGACATTGAGAAGCATGGGGGGGAGGGGGGTGGAAATGTTGGTGTACCTGGACAAAGCATTTTACCTTTACTAAGCAGAAATATCTTAGAAAGTGCAGGACTCTTTGTATGGCGTAACAGTATGATTACAGTATTGAGGAGATAAATTCATACCTGCATTTATCATCCATCTGCTATGTGGCAACCAAGGACTTTCTTGATACAAGCACACCAATGATGGAATTGTCTCTCTGTTTAGTTATGGCTGGCACCAAGTTAGTTAGCTTTTTGTACAATTAAAGACCTGCTGATTCACCTAGCCTTTTGGCTGAACTCACACAATGGTATCACTTACTGCACCTCTATTGTTGTTTTGATTCTGTTTTATGATTTTAGGGTTCAGAATGTTGTATTGTTTTAAATTCTCAGTGGTTTTATTGGTTGGTTTTATGATTCCACATTTTGGGATTACTTTTAATGAAAAGCAAGGTAAAAATTGTTTTAGCAATAAAAAATTAGTTGCAGGAATCACTGACATACATGATTATAGTAAGTAGGCAATTAAGCAGATGATAAAATGGGTAAGAGAAAAAGCAATTGCTAAAGGTAGTAAGGTTTCCCTTCATAAAAATACAACATGCAACTCCATCAAACTTCAAGGATCGTACTGCCCAACCACTGCTATAATGAGAATATCCCTCAATGACCTTATCCTGCAATCTCATTTTACATACTTCATTTCCAAAGTAGAACTTGGGTGCCCTAAGGAAAATGTACTCTGAACATGTGCTCCCACTGACACATGCAGGTCATCTTAAAACCTTTTAATAGATCCATGCTGTATTTTATGCCATGAAGGTTTTACTCTACCCTCTCCACTTTATTTAAAAAAAAAAGTAAGCTGAGTTCTTCCATCTACCATAAAATCATAGGATGGTGTATTTGCCCCTTTTAGGCAGATACTGTAGTTATTTTAGGAGGGAGTGGGAAGGTAAAGCACAGTTAATATCTGCTTATAGTGATGGTATGCCTCAACAACAGAACTGTTAACAGAGATTTCATCAGGTCTTAAAAAATCTCAGATGTGAAAGATACAAATGCAGAACTTCTCTGTCACATACTCTGCTCCCTTGAATACTCTAGTTTACTTCAGCATTCTCTGGATTTTGGTTCCAGACTGTTAAAGTTTATTCCCAGAGTATAAATACCCTCTCTTTGATAAAGATCAGAAACTCTGAGGCCTAGGAGCATCAGATCATGCTTCATATCTCCCTGTTTAAGGTTTTCTTGCTGTGCAAACAAATACACAGTCTTCATGTTCACATACTGAGGCATACGTAGAGGGGGAAAAAAATCCCACATTGAAAACAGCATCATTTATTCCTTCTCCATAAACAAGGCAACAAGTGTTTTATTAAGTATTGCCCTTCTCTTGTTTAACACTGGGGCTGCCCTAGCTTTCAGCAAGCAGTTGCTCCATCTCAGTGGCTATAATTCATTTGTTAATTATTACAGTTCTGCAATAATGAGATATTATGTTTAAATTTTTAGCCCCAGGACAAGTCCCTGCAGTTTTCTTGGCAAGATTTCAGAAGTGGTTTACCATTGCCTCCTTCCTAGGGCTGAGAGAGAGTGGCTGGCCCAAGGTCACTCAGCTGGCTTTGTACCTAAGGTGGGACTCATAGTCTCCCAGTTTCTAGCCTGATGCCTTAACCACTGTAATTATCAATTCATTTGTTAACTGTTATACTTCTGCAATAATGAGATACTATGTTTAAATTTTTAGCCCCAGGCGATAAAATGCTGAAGGCCTCTCCTGCTTAAGGCTATCCAATTAACTCCTTCATAAAGCAGTAGAGATCATAAAATACAGTGGTACCTCAGTTTACGAATTTAATCCGTTCCGTGACTCTGGTCACAACCCGATTTGTTCGCAACCCGAAGCA